TCAAGAAAGTTCCTGGCAGCATGAGCCACTTATGGCTCCCAGCCCCCAAATGGAAAGAGGGAAAGCTGGCTGCATTAATTGACTATTGTGTGACAAAAGAAATGGTGATAAATATATTTACAGTGCACATGACTGACAAAGGATTATTATTTATTACTATAAAATACTCATTCTACAGCAATCATTTGTGAACAAGTGTACAGGGCAGTCAGTGTAGCAGTGGTTATTGTAGCAAAAGTTTAGAAATAATCCCAAGTGACTGGTCAACTAAACTATGGTTATTCATGTAATAAAATTCCATGTAGCTAAAAAGGAGAACCAAGATCCCATCTTTGTACCCAACTGGTCTGATCTTGAGGAAGATGTACTATTAGGAAGGAAAATGAGACAAGGGGGAAAAAAGGCTGTTTCATTTTGTGTAGTTTCCAATATAGATCAGAAAATTATAATTTTTACAATAAAATTAAGATGAAGTTACATTGTTAGGCGTTACTGATTTTCTTTGTTCCACAGACTCAGTCACTTAGTGAAGTCTACTGAGTGATAAGGCCCAGCATTGATGATCAAATGACGTTAGGAAATGGTAAAGCATTATTTCCCATAAGGCCTCCGAGTTGCTCATAGATAGCAAAACCTGGGATCTTAGGGTTTCTATTGCTGTGAAGAGACACCATGACCACTGCAACTCTTATAAAGGAAAATATTTAATTAGAGCTGGCTTACAGTTCAGAGGTTCAGTCCATTGTCATAGTGGGAAGCATGACAGTATGCAGGCAGACATGATGCTGGAGAGGTAGTCAGAATTCTACATCTGGATTGGCAGGCAGCAGGAAAAGGGTGACACTGGGCTTGACTTGAGCATCTGTAACATCAAAACCCACCTCCAGGGACATACTTCCTCTAGTAAGGCCATACCTAATAATGCCATTCCCTATGGGTCAATGGGGAGTTTTCATCTGAACCACCACACCTGGTTCCTGTAATTAGTAATGTACAGAGAAATCTAGTTCTATTAAATCTTGAGTAGAGGAATCCAGTGCAGTAACAACTCTTCCCACTGACTCCAGCCTTATTGAAAAACACAGGCTGTGTGGCTATTTGTCCTATTTCTCCACCTTTATTTTGATAACATAGCTGATTCCCACTCTAGTCTGGCCAGTCTCTTTTTGTTTGTTGTGTTTATGTTTTGGATTTTTTTTTTTTTTTTTTTTTGAGACATGGTTTCTCTGTGTAGCTTTGGAGCCTGTCCTGGAACTCAGTCTGTAGACCAGGCTGGCCTCAAACTCACAGAGATCCACCTGCCTCTGCCTCCCAAGTGCTGGGATTAAAGGTGTGTGTCATCACCTCCTGGTGGTTTAGCCAATCTTAATCACTGCCATTAGTTTTAGGGTATATGACCCCAAATGGGCAGTTACTGGGACCTAAAAACAGGAGTCGAGAGCTGGTATGGAGGTACACATTTACAATCCTAGCAGGAGGTTAATGGTTTCAAACTAAAGCCAATCTTGATGACAAAGTGCACCCACCTTGTACAAACAAATAAAACAAAACAAAACAAAAAACCAAGGAACACCTGGGATGAGGAGCTGATATACTACATTGGAGGAGGACACAGCAGAGGGGTGAACAGGGATGGTATGCTCACTCCTTTCCCTCCCGTGATAAAATACAGTGACAAGGCAAGTATCCCTTATTTTTGGTCAGTTCCAGAGGGTACAGGCTGTCCTGGTAGGTAAAGCATGGTGGCTGGCTTGGTGTAGGTAGTGATGTAGCACCTGCAGCAAAGACACCTTGGTAGCTTAGAAGCAGAGAGCCCTAGAATGGAACTAGGGTTAGGCTACACAGTGAAACGCTCCCCACCCTGACCAGTCTACCATGTCTACTCCAAATGTTCCATAATTATTTTACCCAACACCAAAGAAGTAGAAGCAAGTGTCCAAACACAAGCCTGGTCTCCATTCTCCAGTTTCTCTCTCATTCATATATATGTATATATATTCCCGAAAATGTTCCCATTAGGTCTCTGTTCAAATACTTTCAGAACTCCCAACTCTTTTACCACAAATCCCAGACCCTGTAGCCTGGTAAATCACTCTTTAAATGTTTGGGTCTCAAGTCTCCCATACAAAATAGAAACTGCTTCTCCACATGCCAATCTCACTTATGGTTTTCCAGGCTCAGCTCTTTGGCATGGTCTCCTCCTGCATCCTAAGCAGCCTTCTTTTCTTGCCGGACTCCTCTAGCGTTTCAACCTTGGACTAAAGCACCTCTTTGGGGTATTTCTGTGGCTCTTACAGTCTTGGAGTCCTTCCTATGTTCTTTCATAACTATGCTCCTTCACCTTTGAAAGAACATAATATTCCTTGACTGGTGCTGGTTTTTCTCTACAAGACTCTCAGCTGCTTTCAGCCAGGGACTTTATTTCTGAATGTACATATCGAGGTTTGGAAATTGATACCTCCCAACATGGCACCTTGACATGCTAAGTACTCTTGAGCTCAAAGGCAAAGTCTCCCTGCCTTTCTTTCTCTTCTGAAATCAGTCATGGAAATCATTAATTTCTCTTAAGGTGGAGCATAGAATCTACAAATCACTTTTTCTCAAAGCATATAATCTAGAAATGTCACTCCCTTTTTGAAGACCCTCATTCCAGAGTGGTCCTACCCTATACCTTAGACTATCCAGGAAAGGAGAGAGAGAGAGAGAGAAGCAAGCTCTGCCGACTCGCCTCCCCTTTAGTCTCATGCCACTGGAGCATGGCCCCGTGTACCTGACCACATTTCTACATGGCTATCCATTTCACATCACATCAGGTTTAAACAAGAAATGGCCATTTGGGTTTTCATTTTCAAAGGCTTCCATCTCATGTACTACTTTTAAAATTTGTTGGTTTTGAATGTGAATGAATAATGTTCGTGAAGGTCAGAAGACAATCCCGTGGAATCAACTGCCCTTCCAGCTTCACAGAGTCTCACTATGTAGCTTTGGTTAGCCTGGAACTTGTTGGAATTAAAGTACTGGAATTACAACACCAGGTCTAGCATAAATTGCTTATTACATTTTCAAAAGTGAGAACTTGTGATTAATAAAGTTCATCCAAGCTACTAAAGTGTGTTATTATTAATTTTCCCCTAAATATGTGGGTTTTTTTTAAATTAAAGCAAAACATATAGATATAAGAAAAAAGTGGGCTGGGGTACAATTTATCATGCTCATGGCCTTGGGTTAACCCTCCAGCACCACAGAAACAGAAAATAAAAGTAGAAGTGACAGTGCAGTCCTGTCAGGAAAAACTGGACATAATAGTGAACACTAAGTAGTCTCGGTCCCTGGTGGGAAGCCAGAAAGGGAACCTATAGGATATGTTTGCCTGGTAGAATAAACTATAAATTAAAAAAAAAAGATTTGTACTACATTTAGAAAATTATTATACAGCTCATTATATAGAAAACAATGGAAAGAGTAATTGATAATTTAATTCTAATTTTGTGGGACTTTTTGAGATAGGTCTTCCTTCATAGCCCCAGCTGGCCCTCCCGCCATTATTAAAGGTGTTTTATAGTACTGCTTATCATCAGTTGTATTTTTTTCTGAGAAGAAAACTTAAAAACGTCAATGTTCTCCTTTTATTCTGCTCCATTTGTTTTTATTTATTTTTTTTTAGTTTTTTGAGACAGGGTTTCTCTGTGTAGCTTTGGAGCCTGTCCTGGAACTCAGTCTGTAGACCAGGCTGGTCTCGAACTCACAGAGATCTGCCTGCCTCTACCTCCCGGGTGCTGGGATTAAAGGTGTGCGTCACCAATGCCCAGCTTTGTTCTTATTGCACATGGTTGTGGGGTACATAAGGAATTTTCCTAAGTATACTTTGACTGCGTCCACTCTACCCCATGCTCTTCACAATCACACGTCTGTTCATTTGTTCCCCTGGACAGTTTTGCTTCTAGTTCCATGTCATGTACATAAACATGCCTTTCAATGCTTATTTAAAATTTAGGAACCACAAGAGGAGAAAATGTGATTGTTTCTTAAAGACTGGGTTATGTAATTCACTTAATAATTATCTCCACTTACATCCATTTTCCTGCAATTGATGAAACTTTTTTCTTTGTGGAAGAAAACAATGTCGTTTATAGGTAGCTCCTGTTCTTTGACCACCTCTGCTGTTGGACACAAAGGTTGGTTCCATTAGCTACTGTGAACAGTGCTGAAGTAATAAATATTGGTGTGGAGGTATTTCTGTGATATGCTGTCCTGGGCTCCTTCTATTGCTGTGAAGAGACATGATGACCAAAGTAACTGAGGTCGAATTTTGGGGCTTATTTACAGTTTCAGATGTTAAGTAGACTCCATGGCCATCGTGGTGGGGAGCATGGCAATAGGCAGGCAGACATGGTGCTGGTCCCAACTCAGGACAAGGACAGTTAATAATGATGAGGCTGGACCAGGGACACCCAGATGGCCTGAAGCCTTGCCAGGCAAAGCTGCCTAAGGCACAGGGAAAATCTACTTCATTACAAAGTAAGCTAAGAACTGTCCCAACACTCCTCCTACCACAAGCCTGACATTTAACAGTGATTTTCTTAAAGTAGGCATGACGGAAATTTGTGTTAAGTTCAATATCTGAGGTTCCAAAACATTAGGTCACACATTTAATGATGTATAAAAGCAGACTGTAACTGTATGCTTTAATCTGCTTATGAAAGCTAAAGGAATTCTCTTGTTATTATCAACTTTTATCAACTTATACCCAATCCATCTTGCCACCGTGGCAGGGCGGAGAAGCCTCTTTACGACCCTTCTTGAGCTCAATAAGTAGTAGAAAAAAGCACACACCTGACAGTCTTTATTTGCAAGGGCCCCATCTGCTGGCGCTGGCTAGAACAGTAGAAAGGTAGGATGAAGGGCATACACAATGATTCTTTTTCCAAGTAGTCTGCTGAGGAAAGCCTTCTGTAGAGAGCATGACTTCATTATTCTTAGACACAAAAGGAAATGGGGTGTCTAGTGTTGACCACGTCCTCAGGATTGTTTGTGCTGTTTTATATTAACTGAACTGCTCCAGAAGCGACAAGAGGTGCAATGGTTTTGTATCGGATCAAGTGCTGTGAGCCCTCCTCCAAGTCAATAACGTAATCTCTGAAAGAGGAGGACATGTTTAATGTACAGAACTTAGCTACCTCTCCATGGGGAAGCCACACGTGCCACTCACCTCTGCTCATCTGCTTCTGGCTCTACTAGAATGTTTTCTTGTCGCTCTTTCACTCTCAGAAACACGTATGAATCTAGGTCTGGTTTGGGAACTGCCAGGAAAAGACAAATGTAACCATAAACAGCTAACATGTAACATGACAGACGTCACTAGGGTTAATCTATTGAGGCTTGTGATGGAGAGGGAGGTGTGAGAAGCGATCTACAATTTTCCTATGCACCACTTTCCCAGTGAACAATACTGAATCTTACGTGTACTTCTCTTTATGTACACACCTATGATAACGTTTAATGGCACTAATCATATACTAGAGCAATTACACTGTAATAAAGGCAATGTGAATTGTTATTGCCCTGTACCCACCCTTAAGCTTATGAGAGGACATAATGCCTACATGAAAAAGGAGACATATCACTTATACATTATGAAATAGTTTGGCCATCACTTCAACACAGGCACTGAGGTATAGTATCAGTTATCTAAGAAGAGTGACTTCATAATTCCTGTCAGAACACTGCAGGATTAAAAACTAATTTTTAGGTATTTATTTTATGTGTATGAGTGTTTGCCTGCATGCAATGCCAGAGACCAGAAGAGGGTGTTGGGTCCCTTGGAACCAGAGCTACAGACAGTTCTGAGTTGCCATGAGGGCGCCAGGATTGAATCCAGGTCTTCTATAAGGGCAGCAAGTGCTTTTCACTACTGAGCCGATTCTCTAGTCTCAAGAGTTCAGGATTTAAAACTTACAAGTTATTTCTAGAATTGTCTAGTTTGTATCCCCGGAACATGGATGACTATAGATAGCAAATCTTGAAAAGTGAAGCCCAGAGGAGTGTGTAATTCATGGAAGATACAAACAAGTATTAACACATCTTTCCAGAGGAGGTGGGAACTGAGCCATCAGTGAATACCACATTAGTGGTATATGCTTTCAACAGTGTGGAACAAAGTAGCAGATGTGTTTTCTTTAAATAAAAGCCCAGGATTTAAAGAGGGGAAATGAGGTTGGGAATGCCACAAAAAGGCTGAGATAAAAGTGTAGAGCAAGATCTAGGAGCTTATATACAAGGAAGCCTGGGTTACATGGTCATAGTGTGGACTATTAAACAAAGGGACATGGTCTTAACCTTAAGCAGTCTCTCAGGGATTAAGGCTAAGGAACCGCTGCCGCCCTTCCCCACCAATGACCAACAATGTCAATGTGTGCCACCACTGTTCAGGGTAGGCCCTAAGTCAGTCTGACCAGTGTTCAGATAAGAAGAGATTATAACACAGAAGGGTACAGTGACTTTAAAAGAGGCATGAATGCTTGCTTCTTCCCTTTGGCCACGTAGGACACACAGAAGAAACCACGAAGAAGACAAGTTCCTACTAGATACCAAGTCTAGTGCCTTGATCTAAGACATCCAACCGCCCCAACTGGGAGCTGTTCAAATGTGTTAGGACAGTGCCATATCGCAGGCCTCCTGGTGCAGCATACATGCCAGGGCAAGAGATGAGGGCACCACTGTATATGTGACCTGGAGACAGACTCAGTAAACCAGGTGAGACCTGGTCCCCTGGAGACAGGTTTGATTTGATCTGGCAGTTGTCTCATTAGACTCAACTACAGTGGACCATGAAGACGAGGGATGTGGATTTCACTGACAACCCTCTAAAGTGCAGCTGGCGATCTTTACAACAGAACTGAAAAGCCCTTTCTGTTTCTAGCCTCTTTTGTAGCCACCACATTCTAAAACCTATGAAATCTGTCAGGCCTGCTTCTCTGGCGCTTAGAAGGATCCTCCAAGATGCTCAGAAAGTATGTGGCCGGATAAAGAGGTCTGCATCTGGAGTAGAAGCCATGAGTCCAATCCCATTTGCAGGACATAAGGGTGAGTAATGCTGAAATAGTGACCTTGACATCTACTTTCGATTGCTTTTATTTTTAACTAGAACCCTTTCTCTTTTCTCCTTTTATCTTAGTTGCTTCTCTGCATACTGACTAAAGAGAGCTAGCTGACTCTCAGGTATCTGAAAATGGGTGTCTGGGATGTACTTTATGGTACTGATCTTAATCTGGAAAAGGCAGCTTACCTGCCCTTAAGAGATCCACTTTCTGCAGGTTGGGAGGCATGTGCTTTAAGGCAACATTTTTAAGATGGGTCTCTGTGTGATCCATGTACCTGGAACAAAGGAAGTCAAATGGCTCTAGTGTGTACCAACAGGAGACACCAGGGTACCAGGCTGAGCACTGTGTATAAGGAGAAAAGACCAACTAGAGAAATAAACCCTGAGCACAGCCAAAGAAACACACTCTGGCCCTGCAACCAGAACCAAAGAAATGCACCCTGACCCTGAAACCAGTGCCAAAGAAATATACTTTGGCCATGGAATCAGCCAGTGAAAGAAATACACCCTGGTCCTAAAATTAGAGCCAAAACGCTAAGAAGGACCAGTGAAAGAAACACATATTAGTTAGCCCTGAAACCAGACCCAAATCTGACCCTAAACCCGTGTAGAAAACAAACCAATCACTGAGCACCAGATCTAGCTAGTCTGAGCTCAAGGACTGAAATCTGACCAATCCCCACCCTGGAAAAACTTCACCCCCTAAGAAGTCCTATATAAACCCCGTGTCTGTTCAGCTTGTGGCTGTTCAGGTTGCCCAACTGTCCTCTGCCACCCTGGCAGAGGGCAGCCACTCTCCTGCATTCTTCCCTCCCAATAAATCTCTTGAATGAGGTTTGGATGAGACCTTCTTTCGCCGGAACAGAGATGACTCTGGGCAGAGCGGAGCAAAGCAGAGCTGTAATACTTTCTTTGCTGGAAAACCCTCTCCTGCCAGAGCAGAGCTGACACACTAGGGGAGCCTTTCCCTGAAGCAGGGCTGTAAGCTGCTATGTTTACTGTGACCTGTGGTATTCCTTGGCTCCCAAGTGCCAGAATCCCTGTTCATCCCATCTGAGCTGTAACAATCAGTATTCTTTGGCTCCCAAGTGCCAGCATACCTTTCCATCTGAGCTGTAACACTTAGTATTCCTTGGCTCCTGAGTGACAGAATCCCTGTCCATCCCATCTGAGCCATCAAAATGCTTACACTGTGGGTGAAGCCCATGCTGGAAGCCAAGTGCAGAAGAAGTTCCACGTTTCCTGCTCACTTACTCTTTGACAAAGACAAACTCCTCTGGAGAAAGGATGGAAGGCTCCCCCTCAGGGCGCATTTTCTCCTTTTCTAGGATGTGAGGGAAAAACTTCTCTATCTGTTAAGACAAATTAAAAAAAATGAAAATTGATCATTCTGGGTTTACACACTTCCTTGATCTCAGTGCCTGGCATATACTAGGCTAGTGTTGGGCCACTGAGCTACACCAAGGCCCAATTTTATTTTGTGTGTGCCTATGCATGTTCATGTGTGTATGTGTCGGGGGAGGGTGCATATATATATATGTGTATACATGTACAGGCCAGAAGACAATCTTGGTTTTGATTTCTCAAGTGTCATTGACCTGGATTTTTTGAGACATTGTCTCTCACTGTCCTGGGGCTTGAGGTTGTTACTAAGTTATTGCTCTTGCAAAGGACCTGGGTTCAATTCCCAGCACCTACATGATAGATCCCAACCATCTGTAACTTCAGTTCCAAGGAATCCAATGCTACCCTCTGGCCTCCACGGGCACCAGACAAGAACACTGTGAAAAGACTCAGATGCAGGTGAAATACCCATATAGGTAAAGTTAATAGCAGCATCAACAATAAAACTGACAAGGAGCTGAGAGAGTAACTAGATGGTAGAACACCTGTCTAGCCTGTGCAAGGTCCAGTTCTCCAAGCACTGGGGGTTAAAAAAAAAATCCAAGAATTCAGAAAAAAAGATAGATTCCAAGTGCTGTTTATTTAAAAACAGTGGAAAGAGAAGTCATACCATACAACAGGGCTCACATGGGAGGCTTACTGGAAAAGGAGAGAGAAGGGATCAGAGACCATCCCTGAAGACAAGAGTGGTGGAAGACAGAGAGAACAGGAATGAGAGACATAGAAGAGGTAAAGAGATGGGAGGTGGACAGGGTCCTTTTAAAAGGGAACATGGTGAATATGCACAGGTGGTGATCTTAGTGGCTGCAGCTGAACACATATCTGTCAGGACTCCAAGGGCAGGCTGGTACAGATGCCTGAATACTAACACCAAGACCCCAGAAAGGAAGACAGTTCACAGAGTAAAGCTTTTGGCAAAGAAATTCTGAGAAAACAACTGTATCTGATGCTAAGGAAAAGAAGAGATATCATTTAATATTTAACGTACAGATATCTCCCTGGGAGCTAAAACCCATACAAAAGCTGAAAATACAGAGAATACGTAGATAGAAAAATGATATTTAATTGCAAGAGTTATTACCAGAAATAAGATATATAGCTTGGAAAATAGTAATAAGACCTAAAACAGCTCAACACCAATAGCCATAGTTTCAGCTACACTTCCCAGAATATCCTCTCCTTATCTCTGGCTCCAGCGATGCTGGGCTTAAAATCTGCAGGCCCTGAACGCTACTCAATATCCCAAATTTCACGCTACTCAATATCCCAAATTTTACTGCATTAATGCCCATCGAACCTTCATGAGTCGACACCGCAAGTAGCTGCTAAGGATATAGCGGATCCTCTCCATCTCCATTTGGTGAATACTGACCTTCAGATCCCCGTTTCTGGCTCTTCTGAGATTTCCTTCCTATTATAAGAGAAATTCAAATCACAATATTCAAACACACCAACCATAAACATTGGCAAAGTCAGGGACACTAAAATTATGCCATTTTAAGATAACAAAGAACTCTATTAGGTAAATAATTCAAAAACACCCATTTTAAAGATGACCATTTGAATAAAATCTACAAATGGTCAACCACAAGGGTCTACAACCTCAATCCAACTGTGAAGGAAGCAATACAGCAACAGCAGAACTGTCTAAGGGTCTATAAAGGAGTGTTAAAAGCTAGTTTAGGGGCTGGGGGAGATAGCTCAGTGGGTAAAGTACCTGCTACTGTAGGCATGAGAAGCTGGGTTTCCTTTCTCAGATTCTAGGTAGGGCCAGATGTGTTAGTGTATGTGTGCAATCCCAGTACTCATGCGGCACAGAGGGAGGCAGAGACAAGGAAAGTCTTGGAGGCTCCCAGGTCAGCTAGGGTGACACACACAGCAGTGAGCAACTAACAGACCCTGTCTAAGGTGGAAGGGAAAGACTGACATTCAAAGTTGTATTATGACCTTCATACACATGCACACATGTGCATGAGCATCACACACAATGCTAAAATCAATCCACTGTGAGAATCCTACAAAACACAGACATTGTAAACTTGCTCTGAAGGTGGTAATAACCTAGGCCCACAGCATTCCAAGCCAAAGATCACAACCTAAAGTGTCTATAAGGGTAGGGTAGGTTAAAGATGTAAGAAGGAAGGGCTGTTGTTGGTAAACATTTAAGTTTATAAATGTCTATTTCAAACTAAAAAATATTTATGCCACCCAGTCCTCCCTGTAAGCTTCTATTATCAAAGGGAGTTTTTCTCTACCTCTTTGTCCTTTACAGGTTAAGTCTAACCTACTAAGTTAAAACCAGTTACAGTCAGGCTGGAGGGCTCTGAGTATAACATCTGTCCACAGCCTCTCAGCTTGGATCCAGTTTTCCAGACAGATCAATTAATTACAGGGATAAAGCCTTACCTAGCCACCTATGTGCTTAAGGCAAGTAACTAAAGATAATTTTTGTCTACTGAGATACACTAAACAGTCAGACAGTCCTCAAATGCTCAGAGATCTAGAGAATATGGCATTTAAAACGTTCCACTAAAAAGCTTTTATAACAGAGACAGGCCAGGTGCTGGCACCACCCATTTCCTCCAAGACTGAGGGACACTGAAGAAGCTCCACCCACAAAAGTGGCACGCTAACCACTGAGCAATCCTGCCTTTCATCTCAACTACTTACTCTCTAATCATTCAGGTAAAATTTTATCCTTCTCAACAACTCTGATGCTTTTGACGACTGGTAGCTTTGTCAGCTTAAAGCAACAGCCAAGGCTCCAATTGTTACAAAACAGATTTCACAAACGGGTATTTTAAGGTTGCTACTGTTTATAGTCTTAACATTAATCAATAAAGTTTTAATGAGCTACTATCAATTCTGACAAAGAGTACTAAACACCATACTATGCCACTATACTATCATAACTGTAACTATAAGCTCACAATTAAGGTGCTTTCATTGTGCTAAAGATCTGCCAGTTGTATATGTGTTAATTCTTTCAGCCAAATCATTTCTAACATGAGTATGCTGCTAATGTGTCTTAATATTTATGTTTTCACAAACTCAAAGGATTCTTTTAAGTTCCAGGGAGCCAAATTGGACCCATCCAAACAGGTCAGATTCACTTCAAATAAATATTCAACCTTTCCCTGGTCCCAGGACTCCCTTCCCTCATCTCGGGAACCCCTCCTTCAACTTACAATTCTCCCCTCAAGTACCAGGACCTAGAAAAAAAAAAACCTTTTTTTCTAAACTTAACCTGTTCTGCTAATATCTTGCCAGGTCTCAAAAAGACGCCAGAGTTCCATACAGTCAGGACTGCGATGAAAGAACCAGCTACCAGGACGTGGCAGCACCCCCAGCTTTTTCATTCCCCCAAAGAGAATCACCACCCCAAGTCAGCAGGAAGCAGTCTTGAGAACTCAAGGTCCTTATTTCCTAACCTGCCAAGCCCAACCCCCAACTTTTTAATAACAATAAGAGGTGGGAATGTTGGGAACCAGCAGTCTGCTGACCCCACCCCTGATGATGGGCGGGATGCTCATGGCCATGTCTTATCTAGTCATGACTTACCTGACTGCCAGTTAAGCATGTGCAAGTTTCCCTTTTAAAGAAGTGTGCTAAGTGCGCCTCCCTCTTTGGCTCCTTCTCTCTTGCTCTTTCTCTCTCTCCTCTCTCTCTCCCCTGCTTTCAGTTGGCTACCAGCTACCTCCCTTTCTCTCTCCTCTCTCAATAAACTCCATGTGGGCGCTGAATCTCGTGTTTGTGTTTCACAGGCAATAATTATAGCAAAAGAACAAGTGCTGTCAGGAATTATAGGAAATAGGACAGCACAGTGAGCGGGATGATACTTAGCTGCTCTGGCGTGTCCTCTCATGTAGAATGTAGACTGTTTGCCAGACGCTGACAGGCTGGTGTTTACAGGAACTCTTGGGCAGGAGAGGGCTTGGTGGTTGGCAGTACTTGTTACTTTTGCAGAGGACCCAGGTCTGGTGCCTAGCACCCGCTAATAACCATTTGTAACCTCAGTTCCAGGGAATCTGATACTCTCTTATGGGCTGTGTAGGCACTAGGCATGCAGGTACCACACACATACATGCAGGCAAAACATTCACACACATAAAATAAAAATGAACTCGAAATTTTTATGGAAACTCTTGTAGTTTATAAACATAGATGCAATGACCAGTTTTGGCCATCATCTTGACCATATCTAGAATCAACTAAAACCCAAGCAGCTGGACGTACCTGTGAGTAATGTTCCTTCAGCCTACAATGGAGCCAGGTGGTGGCGTACACCTTTAGTCCTACCACTTGAGAGGCAGAGGCATGTGTATCTCTGTGAGTTTTAGGCCAGCCTGGTCTACAGAGTGAGTTCCCGGTTCGAGGACAGGCTCCAAAGCTACACAGAGAAAACCTGTCTTGAGAAAAGGAGTTTTTTTGTAAAAAGAATATGGGAAAAGGAAATTTTTGCTTTCTGCCTGCTTGCCCTCAATCTTACTCTCAATGGCAAGTTCATGTATCCTGCTGCTGAGGCATTACTTTCCTAGTAATAGGATTCCAACCCATACTGAAGATCAGCTGAGACATACATCCTATTGGAGTGAACTACTTACTATCAGACTCTTGGCCTTTCTGTTGGGAGTCAGACCACAGCTTGTAAGTCACTGTAATAAACACCCCCACGCATACATATTCATTCTTTGAGTTCTCTTCTTTTTGGGGAACCTTGACCAATACAGTTGGAACTTCTTTTAAAGCACTGAGCTGAGTCAAACAAAGACTTGCCATCAGAGCACTTTTCAATACGCTGCCGCCAAAATGCTCTTTTTTCCTCTGTAGCCTGGAGGGAGACAACTCTTACCATGTGCTGTAGCTGTTCCATGACACACTCCACAATTTCAGGCTTGCTCTCCAGTAGCTCAGGGGCAAACTTTTCATTCATCCATGCCTATAAACCAACACGGGGAAAATGAGTGCCACCATGGAGCAAAACAGGGTCAGCTCTCAGGCCCAGATGACTACCAGATGGGAACGAGCTCACTGGTTCTGTCCTCAGAAACACAAAATCAAACAAAAATTCCTATGTTGTGATTCTAACTCAGTGCCTCCAAGTGATTGTTTGGAAGCAGGGTTTTGAGGAGGTGAAGGTGTTAAAATGAGCTCATTAGGATGGGACCTAATTCAATGTGACCGGTCTCCTTTTCAGAAAACAAAATTCTATCACAGACACAGCCAAGAGGGCAGACCAAGTGAAGACAGAGGAGAGAACCACCAGCAGGTCCAGCAGAGAAGCCCCGAAAGAAACCAACCATGCAAGCACAGTGATCTCAGCTTCTTAAATACAAAAACAAGTCTTTTGGGTAAGCCACTCAATCTGTGGTTGATTATATAAGCCCAGCAAACAAATACAATCACTGAAACGAGAAACACTGCATTTCAGGAAATATTTTAAACCTGTTATTTAAAACATACCTTCCTCCTTCTTTTTCTCCCTTCACCCCCCCCCCATGTTCCCCAAGTCTCTCTCAAATTCATGGCTTCTTTTTAATTTCTTTACATATATATGCAAATAAACACATAATACAACCTACTTAGTCCATTTAGTGTTGCTTGTTTTTAGGACTGACCATCGGCATTGGATAACCATTTAGGGATGTCATCCTCAAGGAAGACTAGTTCTCCCTCTCTGAGCAGCTGCTGATTGCCTGAAGCCTTGTGAGATTTCCTCCATTCATATTGGGTTGTCAGCCTGTGTTGTCATCCATTGTTCAGGCCTTGTTTAAACAGCCATATTATTGAGCTTTCATTGGGCTTCCCCGTCATATTCAGGAGCCAATCGCACAGCGGATTTCCTGGTCCTCTGACTCTTACAGTTTTTCTGCTTCCCCTTCTTTGATGCTCCCTGAGCCTTAGGGGCAGGGACTGTGTTGTAGACATATCCATTACAGCTGGGTGTTTTCTAAACACCATTCAATAAAAATGCTGAACTTAAAGGGTATCATAGTGCATGCCTTTACTGGCAACATACAGGTGGGAGAGGCAGGTGATCTCTGAGAATTCAAGGTCAGTCAGTGACGCATAGTGAGTCCATATCTCAAAACCGACCAACCAAAAACTCCTAAACTACCAGAGGTTCATGAGATTTTATATGTGTATAATTATATGTACAATTGTATATTAGAAACTACACATAAAATAGCATAAATATAAAATCTCATGAAACCCTGTCTATATAAGGCTAGTTCCAGAACAGTTAGGGCTGTTAGACAGAGAAGCCCTGTCTCAAAAAAAAAAAAAAAAAAAAACATAAATAAGTAAATAAATAAATAAAGCTAAGTTACTAGAGCACAAAAAAATAATCATTGCTATGCTGTCAATTTTTTGCTAAATCATACATTCTCCAGTGGGAGAGGGGGCGACAATAGAGAACTGCAGACTCCCACCCCACACATCTTTACGTCCTGAAAAAGTACCACAGTGGTGCCTTGATTTGTGAAACGTTCTTCTTAAATATATCCAAAGCTGTCCTCCACTAGCTGTGCTTGAGGACTGACAGAATGAGGTTTCTTCTAGGGAATGCCCTGCTCTCTGCCTTCCTATTTTTATGCACATGTTACAAACACTGCTCTTCAGAAATAAACCTTCAGTGTCCTTATTTCCTGAGCCCTGGAATTGCACCTGGAGTAAGTTAAGGGCTAAGAACAGGGCAAAGGGGTTCTATGAGGGGCTTACCTGCTCTAGCCTTTCAATGAGCTCTGCAGGCGTTAGGACCACCTCCTCACTCTCCCCATCGGAGTCCTGTTCATGGAGATCCAGCACCTCTGTCATCTTTCTGAACCAGGAACCTAGCGAAAATAAACCAACACTCTGCCATGTTTTTCCCACTTACTTGCAAAAGGCTTTCAGGGCAATGTTTACTGGGGCTGGAGGGGAACCACTGGCCAGGGATGGAGAACTCACAGACTAATTTTCAGTCCTCAAGGACTAGGTCAGTTGTCATTTTCTCTCCTAATCCTTTCCACTGCGTGGGACAGGAACTAAGCACCTGTACTGAACGGCAAGTGCGCCTTTTCTTCCCCAGTAGCGTTTTTTGGGGGGTAGGGGGTAGGGGGGTTTCCCCAATGACCCAGGTACCCATTTCCGTGCAGATGTGAAACTTGCACGGCGTTGTGTGCACGGCACAACCAGCCCGCGGCTACAACTGACCTGTGTCTCCCGGGCCCCTCTACGACACGGCGCGGGAACCCGCCCTCCCTCCCCTTCCAGCCCGCACGCTGCCGGGGAACCTCGGGAGGAGGCTGCACCGGGGACGGTACCGCGGTCAGAACTCCCGCGCAAGCGCTACTGCGGACCTCCGGAGCTGCAAATCCCGCGCTCCTTTCCGAAACTCAGCGTCCACAGGAATGACATCAGCGCGCTGGAGCGCACTAACCAATCACGTCTCGGGAAACATGGACTGGCGTCCCGTTGCCCCGCCCTCTGGAGGGCAGGCACTAGAGGCACGTAGAGAGTACTTCCGGAAGGCGGAGGCGAAGGTTGGAAGTGCAGTCTCAGCCCTGACTCGCCACGTGGGGGCGCTCACCTCACGGCGAGGAAAGCGGGCAGTGCCACCTGGCGGCCGACTCGTGCATGCGCCTGCTTCCTTCTGTTAAAATCGGCTGCTTCTTTGAGTCCTTTCCTCCCCAGCTCCAGACCACCCAACTGCACCATCATCTGGGGGGCCCATGAGAAACGCAAATTCTCAGACCCGACCTAGGCCACTGCATCAAATTCCCCTGATTCATTCAACACAGAGAAGGAAAGCAAGAATGTGTACATATTTGTATATGCATGCTTACATATACACATAAATATTTCTGTTGTCTGGTTGCCAGTATTTCTTTTAACTGTAGATGTTTTTCTCTCTGATGTGTTTTGTTCTGTGCAAAATGTCATTTTGGACTGTTCTAGCTTTGTTTATCTCTAGATCGAAAAACAGGGAAATTTCCTATGCCATGATGACAGACAGGGGGAAAAAGGGAAGACTGGTATTGCCTGGTATTATGATAAAAATTACAGGTCTGGGGATATAACTTAGTCGGTATAGTCTTTGTAAGCAGGAGGACCTGAGTACAAGAATTTACATAAATGAGTCCTGGTGGCATACATTTGTAACCTCAGCACTCTACAGGCAGGGATGAGAAGATTCCTGGAATTTATGAGCCACAGTACCCTAGAAAACCCTGACTAATGCACTCAGTAAACTCATTGGTTTCCCCAGAGTAAACTCTGACAGAATTGTGCCTCTGTCATTAGGACCTTAGAAGATGTTACTACACCCTCTGGGAAGGAAATTTAGTAACTGTGTGTGTTACTGTGTATGTGTTTGTGTGGGCATGTGCCACATAAGTGTGTGGATGTGTAGAGGCCAGAGGTCAACAACACTGGTTGTCTCCAACCATTGCTCTCCACTGTATTTTTCAAGACAATTTTCTTATTGAACCTGGAATTCTTTCAATTAACTGTCTCCATGGGCAATGATCTCCAGGGGTCCACCTTTCTTCCGCAGTTCTTGGGTTACAGACAGTACTGTGCGATGTTGGGGATTCAAAACCAGTTCCTCCTGGTGTGCAGCATTCATCGACCTATTGATCTGTCAAAGGTCTCACTCTGGGAATCATAGACTGTTCCTCCCCTCCTTTAACATTTAATATGGATCGGTTCCATTGCCAAGCCCTCTGCACTAACAGTTCATAATTTCATAAATATATATGTTGAAATTACATATGAGTTCCCATTGTCCTTCCTTTACATTATTTTGTACAGAAATGTTCTCTAATGTTATTTAGGTTGCTCGTTTTAATAATAAAAGAGTGGCTATTCTCAAAAAAAGAATGCCTATTCCCTATGTAGGGGTCTACCCTTTGTGTGGTGTGTGTGTGTGTGTGTGTGTGTGTGTGTGTATGTGGTGCATGTTCACAGATATGGGGGGACTGAGGAACATCTGCCTGTCCATGGAGGCTAGAGGATGCTTTATCATTCTCTGCCTTATTCCCATGAGATAGGGCCTCTCACTGAACTTGAAGTTAAGCTGGCATCCAGGAGAATACTGCTCTCCGAACAACTGAGGTTATAAGTGTGTGTAGCCATATTGAGCTTTTTTGATGTGGGTGCTTGGGAATTGAATGCAGGTCATGATTGTATAGCAAGTGCTCTTACCCACTGAGCCCCTTAAGTTTAATTTTGAAGATTTATTTACTTACTTGTTTTCATGTGTGTTATGTGTGTGTGTTTGCATATGAATGTGCATGCCTACTGAAGCCAGAACAGTGCACTGGAACCTCTGGAGCTAGAGTTTCATATGGTTGTGAGCTTCTCAACATGGATGCTGACAACCCAACTCCAGTCCTCTGGGACAGCAGCAAATGCTCTAAACCAGTGAACTAACTAAACGTCCTAATTAGAGTTTCAGAGATGGAATCATGTTGCAAATTTTGTAGTTATATACACTTCTAAATTATGCATCTTGACATATTTATACTTGAAATAGAAAGAACAAGACTAATAGAAAGCTGTGGAAATTTAATTTCTTTTTTTTTTTTTTTTCTTGGTAGCTTAGACTTTTGGCATTATGTCTGTATTTTTTTTTTTTTTTTTGTTAAAATAATTTGTATAGATGGGGGGATGCAGTGTGGTGGTACAGTAAACTCCTAGCATGTACCCTGGGTTCAGTCCCCAGCAACAAATAAAACAAAAATCTCTCTACAGTTTATCACTGATATAAAAAATATTTTCATTTGATACAAGGTCTCATTATATAACTCTGGCTGACCTGGAACTTGGTATATAGATTAGGTTGGCTTCATAGATATCCAGCCACCTCTGCCTCCTAAGGATTAAATATTTTAACATTCATCCCCTTTTTAAAAAGATTTATTTATTATGTATACACTGTTCTGCTTCCATGTATGTCTGCAGGCCAGAAGAAGACACCAGATCTCATTATAGATAGTTGTGAGCCACTATGTAGTGCTAGGAATTGAACTCAGGACCTTTGGAAGAGCAGACAGTGCTCTTAACCACTGAGCCATCTCTTCAGGACCCTTACTCACCTACTTTTTTTTTTTTTTTTTTTTTTTTTTTTTTAAAGAAAGGTAAATATAGAATGATCTGTTTGGGCCATATACCATTATATTAGCTTTTACTTGGAACAGAAGGTAAATTCCATCTGTAGAAAAGCCCAGAGTGATAACAATTAGTTTTTCTCTTTAGTTATGAAAGTATCATTTTAGCCGAAAATACTTAAGTTGTGTTCTTATACCTTTTGAAACAAGAACCAGCAGCCTTGGCTATTTGGTGAGTTGCAGTAGATCTGTAAACAGTGACCATTCTAGAAACTGCTCAGACAGAAGCTTGGAATGTGACCTGTGGGGCCTGTAAATGCTGGAAATCACCCTGGGCTTTTCCCTGCGAGGCGGCTTCATCTTTGACCCTGATGTTGACTGAGGAGTCCAGCTTTACCCTGGACACTTTCTTTTATTTCACTTGAAAGCCAGAAGATACTTCTCCACACTTTCCCTTTCTTTTCCTCTCCCTCTGTGCCCTTAACATTCCCGGGAGTGGTGATCATTATGGACATGTCAATTTACATAGACATACACAAGGTGGTTTGTAGTGCAAGTCCCACCCCCATCCCACACCCATAACCCCGAGGAGTCTAACTGTTTTGTCCTAGGTGGCCTGGAACACGCTATGTAGATCAAGGTGGCCTAGAACTCTAGAGATCTGTCAGCTTCTACTGGGATTAGCTACCATACCCGAGGACATGTAAGTTGTTGACAAACAAGTAGTTTCGTGGGAGCATTTTCTAGAAATTTTCAAAAGCACTGAAAAGATAAAATATTATACATATTACAGGGACAAGGACATAGCGCAGTAGCAAAGAACTTGTCTGACACATGTGAGGCTTATGGGTGATCACCCCCACTAGTGTTGCTTTTCAAATGCAATTCGTCAAACATCCATGAAAGTAGAAAAAGGATTACATAAAAGCACATGGTATGGATGAATTGCACATGCTAATCCTTCACTGAAAAGAGGTTGCATCTGTTTGCAAGCTTTTGCATACCAGAGTATGAGTTTTCCTTTAGTTAAGTTCCTTGACATTTGGTGGATGCTGATTAGTAATTACCAAAACATTTTGATTATGAATTATGTTCACTTCCTGCCAATGAACTAGTTTGAAAATATGAGGTGAGAGAACATACACATGACCCGGAATGTTAGGGTTAGCAGACAATGCATTCACTTTTGGTCTCCTCTTTATCCTTTTTCTTAAAAAACAAAACCAACTCTGATGCCCCCCCTCACCCCGAAAGTTCTCACTGTAGCAGTGTGCTCCTAAACTCAAGACCTTCCTTCCTCTGAGATCACAATATGCCTAACCACACCCAATTTCAGAAATTCTTACAAAACAAGGTGATTTACGAATCTGAAGATTTTATTAAATTTTGCTGCGCTGGGGATGACCCCCTGGGCCTCATACATGCAAAGAGCTCTACTGTAGACCCACACTCCAGCTAGAATTAAGTAAAAAATTAATAGAACATAGCTAACAGGCTACTAGGGTCAATATTTGTATTAGGTAGATGGCAAAAACCAAAAAACTGGGCATGGTTGTTTCTGTCTGAATGCCAGAACTAGCTGAGGCACAAGGACCACTTGGGTTCAGTTTGTGTTATTAATTCCTAAGAGTCTTTTTCATTTTTTTCGATGACTGATTGAACCTAGGATCTCATATATGCTAGATAAGCACTCTACCACTAAGCTACGTTACCAGCACACTATAGTACTTCTTGGCTATAAGCACATTTAACAAAATTGTTCATCTAAGATACTTGAGGTAGAGTATAATGTGGACTAGCCATAATCTTTGCTTGGGTGGGTAACTGCAACCCCACACCATGTATTTATTTGGCATGCCTGGGATGGTCCCACCGAAGCAAATGGAGGTTAGAGAGCTAAATGGACTATTTCTTCTTCACCATGTGTGTCATGAGGATCTAGTTTGGGTTGTCAGGCTTGGTGGCATCTGAGCCATCTCATTAGGCCCATATAACTCCATCTTACCTTGAAGCAAGCTATACATATCCTGAAGTGTCCCAGAACCTCCATGTTACTAAGGGGAAGTAATGTGTGAATTAACTATTTGCTATTTTTACATTTTCAAGTTTTTTGCATTGGAAAGTATACAACTACACATATTGCTGTCTACTCATTTCCATAGAAAGATGGTGAAATTTCCCTATAGGAAAATAAGCTCACAGTAAAATGTCAGAATAGACTGTATTTTGTATCCTTAAAATTTTGTGTACCTAAAGACAGGCGTTGGT